CAGGATCCTGAGATCTCTCTAGGTTGTTCATAAGAGTAGATGTTACTTCTCTAGAATACTTTTGGTGGGTTTCAGTAGAGTGCTTGCATAAGTATACCAGAAATTCTTGGGATTCGTTTCTTCTGCTCTAAAAGGATTTTTCCACTAGGTGTGAGATTCATTAAAGTTTAATATAGTTATCAAGTACTTACAAAGTAGACGGTATTGGGCAAGGCTGTGTGTTCCTGTTTCCTGCAGGATTAAATTGATTTTGACGGTCTTCTGAATGGATTATGTAGACAGAATAGAAACCAGCAGGGTCATTCAATCTTGTTGAGTACCAAGTTATGGATTTTATCAAGGATTAGATCTTTTCCTGTTTCTTGGTTGGATTTTCTGCGATGCAATACTTCTCACCGGGATATCATGATTCATGATCTTCTTCATTGACTCCCAAATACATTGGAAGCCTTTTAATGTGGTGGCTGTTTGTGTAGCTTGAATTGAAGTATGCAGCTGAAACAAATGAACTTGAACCTCCTCATCAATATGTGCCTTGGGTTGTAGTGGATGGAAAGCCCCTTTACGAGGTCCGTTCATTCTTTCATAACTATCATGTGTCATCCAGAAATGTTTCTTTCAATGGAAACCTGGCGTGATTAACGAATGTAATGTGCTGCAGGAGTACGAGAACGTCATTAGTTACATCTGCGAGGCATATAAAGGCACTGCAACACCCAAAGCTTGCAGCAGCCAGGTATCCAGGTCCATCATCCAGAAGGGGAGAAAAACAGGCAGGCCATCCGCTCCAGTTTGTTACAAGGACTCGGTGGTCTCAAATCTCTCGAAGATGATAAGATCAGCCATATCGAAGTTGATTCAGGCAATGGTGATCTAGGAATTTCGGCTTTTGTGGGACATTATGGTCGGCAGTCGGCATAAGATAAGCATGTAACGGGATCCCTTTTTAGATTTAAAGTGATACTGTTTGCTTGAAATTGTAATGTTGCTAAATGTTAAGTGATCAATACAGTTTAAGATTTGCGTAGTCTGTGGTAGTGGGTAGAAACCAGGGCGTTTCTTTCGTGACCCTAAATAATGGCAAGTTGCTTGTTGTTGTATGGACACACTGTTATGGTTAATAGAAGTATAGAACACGTATCACCAGTATTTGTGTTAGGCTGGAGAGAATGATAGTATTATTGTTATCGTCGTTTTTGCTTATTTGGTCATTAAAGTCGATATGTCCGAGTGGTTAAGGAGACAGACTCGAAATCTGTTGGGCTTTGCCTGCGCAGGTTCGAATCCTGCTGTCGACGGTTGTTTTTTCCACACTTGACTTTTGTGATCAGTTTCTTATCCCTTCTGAAACATGGACAGCCTGCATTTTCTGTTTGCTGACTAGCTAATCACCATGAACCCACTATTGACTGTTCTTGCGGTACTTTAAGTTTCAGTGATCTGGGTAGATGAAAGAGAAGCCATTTTGAAGTTCAAGGTTGATCTTAAAGACCCTTCAAGTTTGCTGACATCTTTGGTTGCCCTAGGTGATAGCTGTACATAGTCTCATTTCGTCTGTGACAATTCCACTGTCATTGACTCAGACTGCCATCGCCTTCTTCCTTCTCAATTCCGTGCTCAGTGGTAAGCTCAATCCTCTTCCTTGCTTCAGTTGAAGCATCTCAGTTAGTTGGACCTGTCGAACAATTACTTTCAAGGGATTCCTGTTCCAAGTTTTCTTGGCTGTATGAGTAGTTTACATCACCTTTAGCTTGATGGTGCTGTATTTTTGAGGTGTCATTCCTCATCAACTTGGGAACGTCTCCAATATCAAGGTGGAAGACGAAAATCTGGACGCAGAGAAAAATCTGATCCTATTAGCCACCTGGCTGATTACCACATGAATGAAATGGATTCAAAATGAACCAACTTGAAAACATCATATCTGCTGTCTTCCATTAATGTCAGCTAACTAAATACACATTTCACTAGCCACTGCATTGAATATCATTCTCTCGATTTCTAATGCAATTTCTTCCTTTCTCTTTCATAGGATGAACCAGATGGGAATTCAAGAACTAATGCAAATAAAAAAAGCTCCAGCTCCAGTTCTCAGGAAATGCTGGTTTAGTAGCAAAAAATCACCTGAGGTTATTGTTAACTTGATTGCGCAGTGAGTTTACTATAATTACTAAGCTACAGGTACAATGTTGGACACAGCACAAAGTGTCTGGCTTGCAGCAAGGCTAGAACCTATTGCCTTCAAGTGACTGCTAGCTTCATGAGGAACAAACCCAAGTTCTCTTTGCCAGCTTTCTGCAGAGAAAGGTCAGTAGCGGCAACATAGTTTGTCCCACAGAAGATCCACAAAATGAAAGTAGCCATACCTCCACTGCTTATTGAGTACCATGGAACCCACCACACCCCAAAAGCCCACTATGAAACCAAGTGCCAAGCTGACATAAAACCATTTAAATTCCGAGCCACTCCCATCCCCTTCATCAGGCTCATCCCTCCCATTTCCACCGCTTTCATCAGTAACTCGGTCTCTGGTGCAATTCTTCGCGAGTGGAAGACCGCAGAGGTCCTTATTTCCAGCAAAACTGGAGGAGTTCAGGCTCTGCAGTTGAGTGCTGGAAGGAATCCTGCCACTCAATCTGTTGGAGGAGAAGTTCAGAAAGCTCAGAAATGTCATCCCAGACATGCTTGGAGGGATTTCACCAAAGATTTGGTTGAGAGAAAGGTCGATCGATTCCAGGGATCTCATGGATCCTATGTCTCGAGGGATGTCTCCTGTGAGGGAATTATCTGACAGATTTAGAGACTGCAAACCTCCAAGTCTCGTAATCTCTTCGGGCACCTTCCCAACTAATTTGTTCATTGACAGGTCAATGCTTCTCACAAATTTGAGGATGGAGCCATATTCATACAACTTCCCTTTGATAACAACCACTGCTGTCTCGAAGAATGGGCCTGTGCCATTGTAGCTCAGCTGGATGACACCCTCGGAATCATTCATTTGAACCATTGCAGTGAAGTTGTTGAAACATCTGGGTATTTCACCAGTGAGATTATTGTCAGCAAGGTCCAGAATGCGTAAGGAGTTCGCCAGGCAAAGCTCCTTCGGTATCTGACCGTGGAACTTGTTGTCCCTCAGGTTGAGAATCATCATTCCTGAAAACCCACCACCTATCCAAGCTGGAAGGCTTCCTTCCAAATTGTTTCTGCTGAAGTCAAGGGCCACCATCTTGGTACTGTTTGCAAGTGATGGTGGGATTTCTCCAGAGAGATTGTTGTTTCGAAGGTGAAGTGACTGGAGGAATGCGAGTGCTCCTAGTGATGGAGGGATTTTACCTCGAAACTTGTTGCTGCTCAACTTTATGGCCTCCAGGAACTTCCAACTCCTCCAGCAATCAGGAATCTCTCCAAGGAACTCATTTGCTCCAAGGTTCATCACTTGCATGGTTTTCTCTTCATCCGGTTTGTAACACAGGAAGTCTGATAGAGATCCAGACAGCGAATTGTTGGAAAGGTCTAAAATACTCATGAAAGGATAGATGTTTGGCAACGGACCATTCAAAAGATTCGAGCTGAGATCGATGCTGTAGAAGTGTGAGTTGAAGAACAACCAAGAAGGTATGGAGCTCGAAATTCCTGAGCTCGACATGTTGAGCTCTGTCAAAAGCTTCAATGAGCGGATCCAAGCGGGAAACTGAGGTCCCAAATGCCAGAATCCCATCCCCAGAATCTCTATCTGTGGTGGAGGTGTCCACCGGGGACCAACTTTCAAGCTCAGTCTGTTTCCTGATGCTTGGAAAAGCCAAAGCTTTGTGAAGTTGTGGAAATGAGATTCCTCAACATCACCTTCCAATGAATTCTCTGAGATGTCAATGGATTCTAACTGTGAGAGGCTTCCAATACCTAAAGGAAGAGGCCCGTCCAACTTGTTGCTGAAAATCTCAAGGTATCTCAAAGATGCCAGATCGGTCAAAGACGCTGGAATTTGACCTGCAATTATGTTTCTTGACAAGGATAGAGTGTCTAGCTTCTGAAAGTTTCTGAAAGGAATGTTAATCAGGTGACCAAACAGTTGACAGTTAGAAAGCCTGATAGACTCTAAAGTTCTTGCAGGGCATCCTGAAAGAACCCTGAGAGCTTCATCAACCTCCTGCCTTAAATTGACCCCTGACAGAGTTACAGTCCTCAGGCTGCAAAAAGTTCTGAAGTAGTCTGGAATCCCATCCCGAGACTCGAGCCTATCATTGGAGGACAAATCCAGGTCTATGAGAGAAGTCATGTTTTGCATAGCACCTGAAAAGATCTCGCCTTCCAACCCGTTCTGCGCAAGGTTGAGAAGCTGAAGCTGGCTCAACCCAAGAAAGCAGTTTGGTTCCAAGGAGGTGAATTGGTTCCAGGACAGATCAAGTTGCCTGAGGGAAGTCATGTTGTGCAGACCCTCAGGAATCGGACCACGAAACCGGTTGTTTGCGAGGTTGAGGGTTGTTAGAGAACCAAGATGGAAGGACCAACTCGGGAACAAAGGATCGTCAAAGTTGTTGTAGGAAAGATCAAGAACAGAAAGCGACGAAAAGTTGACATTATTGAGGGAGCTGGGAATGGAACGAAGTCTGCAGTTTGACAAGTGGAGTTCTTGCAGGAAATGAAGCTTGTTCACCACGGTGAGCCAATTGGAGGCTATACCGAGATCTACATAGCTCAAATCCAAAAACTCCAAGCTAGACAGACCGGAAATCCAGTCGAAGTGTTCGACGGTGAGGTTCCCGCCATAGTTAGTTTGCAAGTTCAGGTACCTTAGACGCGAGAGGTTCCCGAGCTGGGGAGGGATCGTCCCAGTGAACCCTGCTCCGGAAAGGTTGAGCAGCCTCAAGTTCGCGAGATGGCCGAGGAAGTCAGGTACCGAGGACCCCGAGAAGTCGTTGTTGCTCAAGTCCAAGTAGCTCAGCTGCTTCAGATCGCCTAGAGAAGGGCTGATCTCTCCACTGAACGTCGTCAGTGGAGGCAAATCAGCAGCTCCGAGATGGAGCTCAGTGACATGGCCCGTAACATTGTGGCAGACGACTCCTGACCATTTGCAGCAATCACCAGTTGCCCAGGACTCAAGCCAGTCGGAAGAGTCGACCAAGCCCTTTTTGAGATCCAAAAGAGCCCGCCTTTCAGTAGGCTGGCAGGCCAGCACGAGGCTTCCATAGGTGAAGCTGCTGATTGCCATGAAGAAGAACAACCAGCAGAAGGGCAGTAATACTGCTGCAGCAGGGGTAAGAGTCATGGGAAATTTCTGGTCTTGTTTTTTATTTTAGTTTTGTCTGAGTGATATCAGCTTATGTTATTTAGCGGGGAAATCTTTACATTGATATAGGTACTACGGACTCATCACTCACCTTGACTTGGTGGGTTTCCTTGCAATTGCATCATGCCTGGGTGTGTGAAAGGAGTATGTTGACCCAGAAAGTCGTGGCCTTTTTTCATCATTTCTACACAAACCGAAACGTGGGTAAAGGCGGGTCCCTTTGGAAGTTTCTGAATCTTTTGGTACAAGTTGGTGCGGTTAATGGGTTGGTTGGAAATAGAGCGATAAGAAGTTGTCAAGTTGATGGAAATATAGGGATGGGGTCAGGCTGCTGTACTGTACAGACCTTGGTGTAGAAAAGAGAAGATGATGATGAATAATTTGTGTTTAAAGATGACAAGATGGAGTGACGGAAGAGTGGTGGATTCAATTCTATGCTCTGTATTTCCATGGAGGCCAAACCAGAGGATTTTGCAAAATTGACCAACGTAAGAAAAAGAAAAAGAAAAAAAATCATAAACAGAAAATAAAGTCCGACTTGCCGGATTCGAACCAGCGACCTAAGGATCACAGTTTCTATACGACTACAGTCCTCCGCTCTACCAACTGAGCTAAAGTCGGATGTTGTGACATTGTCTCACCATACTTTACTTAAAAACTTGAGTACCACCAAGATAATCGATGCAACCTAACCAAACCACAATTTTGTAGAACCTGACCACAGCTATGCTGAAGTCACAAAAACTAGAAGGAAATCACTATTGAAAGAGCTCAACTATCAAAGTTCAATCGAAACCTCACTCCAATTAAAAGTTTATAGGTTGGAAAAAATAGCTGCCTTTTCAACTCCAATTGAATATATATGTACAGCTTGTTTGGATTTATTGATTGGGTGTGTTATCTGACACAAATAACATGTTTGGTTGGAAAAAAGGATGTGGTTGTTTGTCAATAACACAAATCCGTTGTTTGCCAAATACTTGGAGGGGTCAAGTATTTGGGAAAAAATCCCAGAATACACTAGTTTCATTCACGGGTTTGAAAAAATCTAATTTCATTTCACATTTGTTTATAGATGGGTGTTGAGTATACGACCCTCGATTGTATATCGATCCTGGTCCAATAGATAGAAAATATTTAAACGAGCAAGAACAACATCGCTCCCGTGCAATTTGGGACGATAATCCGGTAGACACTCTGTACCGTATAAATTTTTAAATTATTTCATTTGGTTAAAAAAAAATTTTTTTTGTTTTTTATTTATTTCTAACAACATTGTATTTTTTGTTTTGTAGGAATCACTTATTCCCATCAGTCATCGAGGGACATGTCCATTTCCTTTTTGGCATCCTCGACTGGAGCCCTATCTAGAGAGGACGGGATTGCACATGCTGAGGCACTTCATGAGGCTTGATATCGACAACGATCTGCTTACGGCAATGGCAGAGCGATGGCGCCCTGAGTTGCATACCTTCCACTTTCCCGAGGGGGAAATGACGATCACCCTCAGAGATGTTGCCATCCTCACTGGACTGCCGGTCACTGGAGAGGCCATCATCGGCAACTAGAGTAAACCCGAAGGTGGTTGGGGGGCTGTTGATTCTCGAGCGTTTGGGGTTCGACATGCCGACCACAGCGCCCGTTCAAGGGGTTGGGCATCCATCGCTCAATGTGAGGCAAGTTTCAATCCCTTGGCTTGTTGAACACATCCAACAGGAGGTTAATTTAGGGCCAGACACCCCCGAAGATCAGGTGGAGCGATATGCACGCGTCTACCTCATTGGGTTGGTTGGTGGATTTTTGTTCCCCGACAAGGCAAACCGGTGGATACAAGGCATGTGGTTGTCGTTGCTCCTCGGTGATTGGTGAAACATCCCACTACTTTGAACTTGGAAAAAGACATTTATACCCCGGGGTATAATTAAAAATATCAAATAACACAACTTTAAATAAAATACCAAATTTAAATATCTTAATATCTCAAATCGAAGCCCTAAACACGTGGGCAAAACTAAAATCGTCCAAAGGAAATGAATCTCCAATCTTTAACTCTTAACCATAAAGTCTTAATAACTTGAAAAAGTTCTTCGATGCTTACTCTGACGCCTGGCTCGACATCTCTCAGCGACGGTGGTTTTGAGCTCCTCTAGCTTGCTGATCACGGACTGGCAGGTTAGGATTCACTCCTCTACGATCTGGTGAGTGAGTTGGGGTCATTCTACGCCTTACGTTTGAAATCTCTAATATTTCTTACTTCTTAAGAACTTAACTTAAACTGGTGGATGATACTTTCACTCTTTAAAATTTATTATTAAAGCTCAAATCTCAACTTAAATATTTGACTGACATTGGGATCCCTCACTAGCTAGTCTGGTTGCCAACTCATACGTATGAGAGCCCATCCAGGCTTTCCTTAAACTTACACTTAAACTTATCGTGGTGGCTCTTCACCACGATTCTCAGGAGCATAAATGCTGCTCATCTTAAAATATCTCAAGAGCATAACTGCTGCTCATCTTAAAATCTCAAGAGCATAACTGTTGTTTTGTCTGAAAATCTCAAATGGAAACGGACTGGCGCCAGAATAAAAATACTTAAAACGACCTCACCTTCTTGAAGGTGAGTTACATCTTAAAAAGAACTTATTTCTTAAACTTTAACAATAACTTATAAATGTAAAGCTTTAAAGTAAATAATAACTCATGCACATTCACTTCAAACATAGCTCAAACAAAATCACATATCATCAACCATAAGCACAATCAGCAGAAGATTTTTAAAAATTATGGTTAGCTTCTTTAGTTAGGATAATTCAATAATTTATTGAGGCTGCTGAAACCCAGAAGACCATGAGCACAAGTAGTCGGAGATCTTAATACAGAAGCTCTGATACGATGACACTTAAACGAAAGAACACAAATACATAGTCTTACCTTTTATGTGCTATATCTGAAACTAGGACTAGTCCACGCCTCCATGGGAGAGATAAAACTCTTCAGAATCAATATTATTCAGTTTATCCTTCGACATTATATAATAAAATATATATTGGCAACAGGCGTGGGGTAGGTCATCAGTGAAGTAAGTGGATCGAAGAAGTCAAGTAAGAGATTTTAATAATCGTTGTCGGTCGAGTCATGTTAGAAAAGAAATTTACTTTATTGGAGAGTTCTGGGGCAGCTTCAACCGCTATTTCAAACGTGAATGGAATGTTCTGGGATAGAGGATCAATCTACTTTCATTGCCTTCTAATGCTATAGGGGTTGTTCGCCTTTATACTGCTCGACTTGGCTATAGCTAGAAACCCTAACCCCACCTAGTCTAGGTAACTTATGTAATAAGCTCATTTTCATAATGCCACTGACACTAAGGTAAGTCAGTATTTTATAATAGCCTGAGCCCAAATTAGCTTCCAGATGTAGTAATTGCTCGGTCAGGGACATGCACTAGGGCATTTTTCTCGTGTTGATTGAGCAACGTGCTTTGTTCTCTACTCTACTCTATGTATTTTGTCAGTAATGAGAGCGTCTTCTTGACGATTAGATAGTTATTTCACGAATTTGTAGGCGTGTTTGAGAAATTCGTGTAAAATATCGCATTGCTTTATAGCCAGGAAGCTGGTACTGGAACCCCAAATTAGGGCAACCCAACTTACTGAACATGAGTGATTGAGTGTCATTGCCTAATGTGTTAAAACCTTCACAATTCAGATGAATCAACAAGAATTATGAACAACGAGCGATAAACGATCATGTATTTTAGCTCATGTGATTACAGAACCACTAAACGGAGGAAGAAAATAGAGATCTTGAACACAAAAGAAGCTCAGCTTCATTAATATTATTAATCACTTGGTCACAAAAACACATATGAAATGGGGCTTAATTAAGGCTTTATATTATTAATCACATCCCAAACACATGGAAGACGCCCACACACACACAGACAGATACGCAATAGCTAGCCACCCCGCTGTAGGGTATATGCAACTAGCAAGCTCGCAAGCTAGCATTTGGCAGCAGTGGAGAGCCCGCACTTGGCAGGGAGCTTCTCTGCAAGGGGAACGCTGATTCCAAGCGAAGGGATCAGAGGGGATTTCTTGTAGGAGCAGAGGCATCGCATATCGGCGTGGGAGATGGCCCTGCAGCAGTCCGCCGTCGGCGGAGGAGGCCTCGGCGGCGTCACCGACGGCTTGCAGGCCCTCAGCCCTGCGATCGGAATGTTGCATATTGTCTGACCACTAATAGTGTTCATCATGTTGGACATGGACAGAATTACGATCAGCACAACAGCTAATTTATGCTGACCATGATTACCCACTACTCTATTTGCTTCCATTTCTTTATTTTGAAGGAAAAAGAAATTGGTAGTGTTCTGCTCTGGCTTGGCTTGTATTCATTTATTGCTTACTATATATAGAGTGAGAGACAGAGAGAGTACTAGGTTGAATGCCTCCATCTCTGGTGGACTCGAGGTCTCCTCTGCTTTTGGGTCAACATGGTTTTCAACATTGATGGCTGTGAATGCTTATTGGCTCAAACCAATACGGATTATGATATATCTATACATTCTGCACCAAACCATGGGCGGGAATTAGGTTGTGGAAAATTATTGGCAGTGGTGGGGGAGAATGTTTGGTGGGAACTTGACTTTCTGAGCTTTTAGTTTCTGCTTTTCTTTTTGGGAGATGGAATTGGTCCCTGTTCTGGAAGCTCTAGTTGACTTGCTAGTTGACCCGTCAGTCGTTGATGGTGAATAGAGATCCACTTTCCGTTTATTCAGTGCTCTGTTTTTCAAGGAGGTGAAAACAGAGGATTGGTGTAAAGACTAAAGAGGATATCATTCTTTCTTTGCTTATGGTAAAAAGAAAAAGCTAAAAAAAAACACAGAAATGAAGGGTGAAAAGAATTCCGACCTGCCGGATTCGAACCAGCGACCTAAGGATAACAGCTCGTTTCTACTACAGTCCTCCGCTCTACCAACTGAGCTAAGGTCGGAATGTTCTATATGTATAAGCCGATTCATAATAAAGAGACAAGAATATAGACATACAGCAGTGCAATTTCCCTTTCTAGCGTCA